GGCTTGGTCCAAACTCTCATCCAGAAGGTCCTGGAAATGCCTCTCCTCCGCCGCAGTGAAAGAGAAGTCGGCGCTGCAAGGATCCTCAAGAGGAGCCCGTCGACGAGGGGGAGTGACCAAAGTGCTTGGCGCATTTCCGTCAAACTGGTACACCAGGATACGATGGTCGGAAAGGGAGCCAACCTCAGCCTCCGGCACATGTAAGACCTTCACCGCCACCAAGTCGCGCAGGGTGAGGCCGTAGTCGATTCGCCGCCGCCGGGAGGCTCCATTGTGTTTGGGGCCAGTAAGAGGAAGCGGTTCCCCTCGAGCTGCCTCATCACAGGCACGACAGGCACCACATTGGATGGTTTCAGCGATGAAGCCCTCCTCCTGCGTGGTATTCCAGTCGCCAAAGAGAAGGGACGGCCGGCCAGAGTAATCGGCCGAGACCAAGATATCCCGAGCCTGGGCATCTGCTGTGGCGACCTGCCCGCTCTGCAAGTAGACCGCAACACACAGCACCGACATGGTTCTGCCAGCGACCTGCAAATCAACAAAGGCAGCCGCGTGTCGTGACAAGCCGTCAGCCTCGCACAATTTGACAGCTTTGAAAGGAATCTTGCTGAGCAGAGCGACCCTACAAACACCTTGTTCAGGGAGGCTAAGCTGGACATGCCAGCCGTGCCGCTTCCACTCCTTGGCCCAAGAGGCCCTCGAATCGATGTTCACATCCACTTCACTAACAGAGACCAGGGAAATCTGCCAGGCATCAAGGAGAGGCCCGAAGGACACCCCTTTCCTGGCAGCATTGATGCACATGGCCCTCAAAAACACGGCGAGCCATGCTTAGCCAGAATGGCCTTAGAGACCCTTCTCCCTCGAGGTACCACCAACCTTACTCGCAAGAAGCCGGGCCTTGTCCTTGTCGAGATTCTGGAGACGGAGCCTGACAAGGGCCTTCACCTGACTCGGTCGGGGCCCACGGGAACACTTGTCCTTAAGATGCTGCTTTGCCAGAGCGTTTGTGCGGCAAGGGGCCAAACAGGACTTGCAGGCCCAGGCTGGCGGGTATCGGATGGGATTGGCCCTCTTGCCCGCAAGTTGCTTGCCGACAAACTGGGGCCACCTGAAAAGATCAAAGTGCTTAAGAAGCTCAGGATGATCCTTGGAGTGCTGCCGAAGAAGAGTCTTGCGCCTTGCGGTACTAGCCAGGACTCTGGCACTATAATCAGCTTCTCGCCACTTTTTCCACGACATCCTCGGATGGAAGGTACGTTTGTGGAGGTTCTTGTCACGGGCCATGCGCTCGGTGCAAGCAATAGCGGCCTGCTCACTTGTGATGCCATAGGAGCAGAATTTGCAGCGCCAAGCGAGATCCTGATCCTCGGAGACCTCGAGGACGGTGCTGGGCATTTGTGCATGGTAGTTGGCAACCCCAGAAGGAGTTTGGCCTCGGTGCTGCGACTTGAAGTGAGCTGCCATGCGGTGCCTGGCAATCGTCTCATCGTCGGTCTTAAGGCTTTTTCGTACTATTCGGGGGGTCAAAGATCAACCAGGGGATCCTGTTTCAGCAGAGCTTGAAAGGGGCATCGCCGCGCCGCCCACCAAAGATCAACCAGGGGATCGCTTGAATAATAAAGGAGCATCGCCGCGCCGCCCACCAAAGATCAACCAGGGTATCGCTTGAATAATAAAGGAGCATCGCCGCGCCGCCCCCAAAAGATCAACCAGGGGAGCGCCGATTGCAAAAAAATGTCAAAGTAGTAGCGGCAATCGTCGTCGCATTGAGCCAAAGTTTGAGCCAATTCTTATTTTAAACACTTTCCGGGCTTAAGGCCTTTAAGGGCAGATTCTTCCCGACATTGGGCCAAACTCGACAGTCAGTCTTAGGCCTAACTTCGAGGGTCTATATTATAAGGGTTATTAGGGCGTTTATGTTGAAGCTGATCGCAAAAATTAAAGTCTGGTCTATGAAATTTATTAAATTTTTTAAAAAGCTTAGCCTCGTACTGTTACGACAGTCTACTAATTTTTAATGAGTTTGACTAATTATTATTATTATAGATTATAAATTATTATTATTATTATTATACTACATGGTCTTAGTATCAAGGAGTAAATAATATCAAATACCTCGCCACCGAATAAATTAAACTGTAACGGAAAAATTATCATGCAGTATCGGAGCAGAGAGCGCGCTGCGGATACTATATCTATCGGAGGTGAGATCAAAGGAGCCCACCACCCATAATGTCCGGCCCAAGGCTCGAACCCCCCTCCCTGGTCCCAGGTCTCTCTCACTTCTGTCTGGCAAGTAGTCAGCAGTCGTATGATGGCATATGACATGACGAATGAATCGAATCCATTTTAAGTGTAGCGGCACCGACTTTTCCAGTCAATGTGTTCTCTGGGTCTCATGCTTGCACTAAGAGCGAAGCGGCAGACTCTGAAAGCGCCAACTCCTGGGATTTTGGCCGAGACAAGAGCGAGGCTCCGAACCTCTCGGCCATTTTTCCCTTAAACCTGCTACGAATAGCAGCATCGCCTGCCGTGGCTCAGTCAGTGCATCATCTGGAGTGCCGGGCCCGTCAGTCCGCCACCAACGCATCCTCCTGGAAAGCCTCGCCGTCCTCAGACTCGTTGTTCTCATTGTCATCATCATCAGCATCGTCCTGGTGGGGGCAATACAGGATGATTCATGTCACAGCTAACAACAAAGTAAAGGTGTGGTGTTACTGGTAATAATCGTAGGCCGTCAGCTCCTTGTCGGGCAATGCGGCGGTTGGCTCGGCAGTGGAGTTCTTCTTGTTTTTCATCTCCTTGAGCTTGGCATTGGTCATCTCTGCCTCAGGTTCGTCATGGCATTCAGTGGACGGTGAATGTCAATACCTTAGAGTTGCAAGCAGTACTGTAGGCCTGCGAAAAGCATAATAATTTAATGTGCATTCTGACAGCAGTATATAATAGGCGTTTTTCTGCCAAAATCACCTAAGGCGCTTCTGTTCCGGCAGTTGCTGTGAACTTCAGACCCACGCTGGGCAAAAACATTAAGAATGGCATGCAAACTTAAGGCCGTGCACCACCAGCGTCTTGATGTCCTGTTTGTTGGTGTTGAAGTTCTCGCACTCCTTCATAGCAGCCTCCTGGCACTACTACTACTACTACTACTACTACTACTACTACTACTACTACTACTACTACTACTACTACTACTACTACTACTACTACTACGAGATTGACTATTATTACAGCTAATACTGCAAAAAGGCCGCGCTTAACAAACGTCAGGCTGACCTCAGGATGACAATCTGGACAAGATTAAATATAAAATCAGACCAAATAATAACCACCGCGGGGCTACGATCTCGTGCTGGACTTCTGGTCCAAGCTGCGGGATCAGCTTCACCTATGGATTCGACTTTTTCTTGTTATGCTTCAAATTTAATCAAGGTGACGCCTCAGACTGAGTTGCAGGCCGTGACCCACTCGTGGTCATCCACCTTGATGCCGACCTTTTGCTCCTTTAGGTACGTGTACCTCTTGACCTTGCGTGGTCCACTTTTTCCTTTCTCGCAGGATGCCGAGGGCCGCCTCATGATTGCCTTACATTTGGCTTTAACTTTCGCCTGTGCTTTGCCCTTGGCCTTGGCCTTGGCCTTGGCCTTGGCTTTGGATTTGCTTTTTGCTTGGGCCTTTGCCTTCTTCTTCTTCTTCTTCTTCGGCTGCTCCGCGATGACGTCCGATTCCGGCTTCTCGTCAGGGGACCCCAAGTCCTCAGACTCGTTTCCGTCTTCATCTTGATCCTCGTCCTCACCCGCTGCCGTCAAGGCCGTTGACTCTGTGGCGTCTGGCTCTGATGTCCGCATGGACTTCTTCTTTTTTTTCTTCGCGTCTTTGGATGCTGATTTTTTCTTCTTCATCGCCTTCTTGGAGGTGGTGTTCTTGGGCGTTGCCTTGGACTTCTTCTCGGGCTTGGACGCCGGCTCTTCAAGCTCTGACGCGCCTTCATCGTCAGCAGCCTTGCCATCGGAGTCTGACAGAGCATCGACATCTGCCAAAGGCATGACAGTGACAATGATATCACCCCGTTCGGGGTAGTAGTAGTATTCACTGGACTGACTGGTAACCGTAACCGTCCACCTGGACTGTGGTCTGATGGCGGCAAACAGTCACGCATGACAACATGATCGCAAAGACAAGAGCGAGGCTCCGATCCTCTCAGACGACCTGTCATGCGGAATCAGAACATGACTGGGCAAAGACAAGAGCGAGGCTCTGATCCTCTCGGCCGACTGTCCAGTCTGTTCAGTCTCACGCACGAAAGTGTTTAAAGCAGCGGACGTGAAAGCGCCAACTCCTTGGATTTGGGCCGAGACAAGGAGCGAGGCTCCGAACCTCTCGACCTGCTTTCCTTGGATCGGGCTCTCACTCGCTGCTGCTCCCAACTCCTTGGATTTGGGCCGAGACAAGAGCGAGGCTCCGAAGCTCTCGGCCTACTTTCCTTAAATCAAGCTTACGCTGGCTGCCAGCAGCATCGCCAACTCCTTGGATTTGGGCCGAGACAAGAGCGAGGCTCCGAAGCTCTCGGCCTACTTTCCTTAAAATCGGGCTTACACTCGCTGCTGGCAGCATCGCCTGCTGTGGCCCAGCGCATCGTACAGATAATCAGGTGTCAATCCAAATTGATGGCGGACCGAGCTTCCGGAGGCCAATTCAATGTAAACTTCTTCCGGGAGACAGGTCATGATCATGGTTACCGGTTTTAATTCAATTCTACTTGCTCACAAGAAGCTTCGGCCGCCGAAGCTGGAGACAAATTGTCTCCAAGTCCAATCTGCCCGGCTCTACACAAGCTTTGCGCATGTCAGCGGCGCCAGCTTCAACTCGCCAAGAAGCCAAAGCTTTGGTTTCACGGCCACGATTTGGCATGGAACGCCCTGGTCCAGCCGTACCTGTCACTTCAGTCACTATCACATAATAATAAGAATAATATCTCACATTAACTGACTTATTATGAGTCAGAGATGAAACATCAACTTCAACTTGAACCCGCGTCGTGCCTCCCACAACAAGGCACAGTTGGGGCCGCTCAAAGGGTACTTGGTGAAGCGACCACGCATAGCAGCCCCAAGTTGAGAGGACCTGGCATCGGCACCCTCCTCCAGAGCCTTGGGCTCAAAGCAATTCAACTTGGCATTCGGCTCCAATGTGTAGCGAAACATCCTCAGCGAGACACCATCGTCCTGCCATAACTCGGGCCATTCAACACGTCTCCAACAGTGAATTCTAGCACTCATTGAGACTCAAGTCTTGCCTCGAGCATCTGTTGGAGCTTGTGGTCCACAAGGTTCACTTCCGTGATTCCATGCGTTTGGGTTGCGTGGCACACGAGGTCTGCCACAGACATGGCTACCTTACCACGGACGGGGTCGAGGAACACGACCAAGGACCAATCATTCTCCAACATAAACGGCAAGTGCTTGTCCTTGTTGTTCCGTGCCATGCCTCCGATTTATTCATTAAACATGAAACTTTACTAACTATTATAGTCTGTTGCATGGCAGGACTATGTTCAAGCGGGCCTGTCACGGTCACACAAAGACAGTGAAACTCACTCACAGGGAGACTCCATGCCGCGCCTTGCGCTCTCTCCACGAAGCTTCCAAGGTTGAAACCGCACAACTCCCCGGCTTCCATCGTCACAGTCTCGCTTTCGCTCGTGTTGCCAAGGTAAATTCCTGGCTCGGTGCCAGTCTCGATAAAGACATCAATCTTGTCGCAAGATGATGCGGGAGCCTGGACGAAGGACCTCAATGCAGTGTCGAAGGCTGCAGACTTCCCGCCACTGTGCTCTAACCGAAAAATCAAACGTAGCTTCTTGTTTGTGTAGGCGCTGTAACTTTTCCTCGAGCTCGCCAACTGACATCATGTCCAATACCAGGGTTCGGAGAAGATCCGGGGGGGTAGCTCCGGGGCTGAACTCTGGGCGGCAAAGCGTTCTGGCAACATTCCTGTTGCCCGTCCTCCCTTCAGCTTGCCCTGCCCCTGCTCCAGAGACGGCTGCGGGAGTACTGCTTCCCAGAGGAGTCGACTGCAGATTCAGGGCATTCACCTTCTTCTGCAAAGACTCGGATTTGCTGGTGCCCAGTGCTGACTTCACCGATTCCGGCAACCTTCACTGCCATGAGGAAGCGACGAGCTCTATTATTCTCAAACCAAGGACAGACGACTCAATCAATTATCATGAGGCAAGTGTCGTCACCTTGAAGTCTGTGTCCAGCGACAAGACTTCCAAGCTTGGCACGACAAGGCGTTCGGTGTCAGACTGTGGACGAACTTTAGGGCCAGCTTGACTTGAAGTATCCCACCAGTCCTGCGACGAGGTCAGGGATTGAGTCATCATCTGTCGGTCAAACTCATTCACGGAAGAGTAAGACCGAGGACCACACATTCATGAAGACACCAGCAATGTGCTGCTGCAAAGCTGTTGCATCCAAGTCATCTGGATGAGGGTAGCTGACGAAGTGCCAGTTGTAGCAACTTGTCGGATTGTCGAACTTCTCAATCTGCATTTCGGCAATTGCACGTCCCCATTCATTGAACCTGGAGCAAATGCATCCACAATGTGTCAAAATTCAAATTGACTGACTGACCCATTGAATAATTCTTCAGTGAGTCACACTTAGTCCAGAAAAAGACTCAGAACAGAAACACCACCACACCAACCACCCCATCACAATCATAACCCAATAAGTAACATGAATCATAATAGTAATATTATAGTAGATGAAAGCTCACTCACTGAATGATTTTAGGTCCAGAATCTGGTTGGGAACCAAGTCGGCCACAATGACTGGCTTCCCTGACGGCACGGACATGTTCTCCAGCAGTCCCATCAAAGTCTCCCTCGTTCCCCGAACTCCTCTTTGTTGGACCTTAAACTTACACGATCATGCTTGGTGAAAACTTTAAATGGCTTGGCGACGCTGACTGTCATACATAGTTTTCTCTCCAGTGCCAGGCACTCTTTGGAGTGGCGTAGTCCTGTTGTCCTCGTCCCCCCAGAGGTCACAAACACGTGCCCGGGAAACCGGGCCGAGAGCTCCGAGCATGGCTTTGCTTCTCTGGAATGCGAAGCTCCGGTGAATGGTGCTCACACTGAGGATGCCTTGGCACGCAGTGCACAAAGTTCAAAAACATAAGACCCGCACGCAAGGAGCAAATTTCAAGCTGTCTCGGGCAATGGCAGGTCTGGGATCGTCTGCGACGGTCATTCCCGTGCCCTGAGTCTCTGAAACCCAAGCTCCCTTCATAGACATCCATTGTCCTTGGCACAGATGACAATGGGCGCTTAGCTTGACACTTGTTACAGAAACATAACAAATGACGGGATGGTTGCTGTACAGTGTACAACATTCGCAGAATCAGAGTAATTATAGTAGTGGTAGTAGCAGTAGAAGCAGTAGAAGCAGTAGAAGCAGTAGTAGTAGTAGTAGTAGTAGTAGTAGTAGTAGTAGTAGTAGTAGTAGTACCAGTAATACCGCTGATAGTCAGTGGTCGCGGTGGCCGCAATACTCACTCGCAGTCCTAGTCTCCGATCCCCTCAGCCTACTTTCCATATCTGATCTGTGGTTTTTTCCTGGCTAGCAAACAGTGAGGCGGCAGGCTGTGACATGCGCAAAATCCTCGGATTGAGGCCAAGACTAAGAGCGAGGCTCCGAACCTCTCGGCCTACTATCCGGACTTCAATACTTAACGCCGACTAACTAACAGCAGCTGCCATCTGTCTGTGGTGTCTACAAATCAAGAGCGACAGCAAGGCAAAGCTTGTCCTCGCTGTCGCTCTTGATGTGTAGATGCACTCGGCAACAGTCGCGTTGAAGCCGGACTGGTGAGGAGCAGCATCATCATATTATGATGACGTTTCTCCTAACCAGTCCGGCTTCGCGAGTAGCGGACTGGTACAGTTGCAGTAACAACGTCCATCGGCAGCGATGTTCCACTGTTGCTGCCAGTCCCAGTGACACTCAGTGTGAGAATCCATTGGAGTGGCCTGCCGCTTGCACATTGCGTAGCCCAGAAGAAAAAGGAGATCGAGGGACATTGTGCCTCGATCTCTCTCTCTTCCGAGCTGCACCATGTGGGCTGCAGACAACAACATCGACCAGCGACGTGAGTTTCAATTTCTGGCGTGACATGGCCATGCCCTGTCCTTCTGTGGTGGCCTGGAAACACGCCCAATGCCAAGACAAAGCCGTGCTGCGACTTCTGGAACTCCGGGGGTCTGCAGAAAAGGCAGCTCGTTGGGCAAGAAGAACTGCAGAGGGCCTGCAATGCATCGTATTGCACCTGAAGGTCCTTGTACCTGTTTTGCTCAACCTCCAATAGATCCAGATAACAAGTGCGTCGCAAGCCAAGCAGACCCTGTTGGCAACACGGCCTGCCTGGCTTGCTACACGCTCTGTGTGTGGCCATCAAGAACTGAATCTGACCACAGTCTAAGTCTTGAGCTTCTAAGACCCAGGCCGAAAGTGATTTACGAGCGCAAGAGGTGCCATTCAGATGGAATGATCAGCTGCACCGTCCGAGCTTGGGCTGATTTCAATGCAAATTGCACTCCCATGATGCCCAGCTGCCTCCTCATGCCCGTCGCCCTTGACCCCCACTCGGTGCTGGATCGTCAATGAAAGCCCTGCCCGACCAGCCCCGCAGAGGACGCCTCAGAGCGCCATGCCATGACCCGAAGGGCGTGGCCACGCTCCCAATGCTCAGCCCAGCAGTGCCGACCTAGCCACCACCCACTGCTCGAGCAAAGCAGCTTCAGTAGTAGTTGTAGGTGATGAATTAATTTAATAAGTACTCAATGTCCGACCACAATCCATGACCATACGATGCCCTAAGACCTTGGGATGCGGCACATTTAAATAATGACCCAAGTAGCTGCATCACCTTGTCCTCGATCTGCCGTTTGCACTTCGTAACGGTCTGCTGGGTCCCGGAGCTGTGCTGCATGGGAAGCAGGCTGAACAACACGGCATTGGCGTTGCCATTGCTGATGTTCTTTGCCAAGTCCACGGCTTCATCCACCACAATTGGGCCTCCGAAAATTTAATGTCACCACTAGGCAGCACCAAAAATTTAGAACTGGTTCACGGATTAGCAAGGTGCAAAGTTAAAGCAAGGTGCGCTGGAACGGCCACGCTGTCACGTCGATAATGAAGATGACGAGCCTCAGACAGTCAGCCTTAAAGAGGCCGCAAGCAGGGCCTCAGAATGTCATGCACCTTAAGCATCCCAGGAACGGGTCGGTGTCCTCGTGCTGTGGCGTACTTGTCAAGCGCGTGATGAGTTGCAAAAGATGCGCATGGGCTTCCAGCAGGCCGCTTGGGAAAGACCTGTACTCATGCTTCTCCTCCATGATCTTCTCCACCTCCTTCGTGCCTCTCTGGTACCGCTGAGCCAGAAACCGTACATCGAGCCCGCCCTGCGGCTGGAGGGCTTGAATGGCTTTTATTAGAGGTCCTCAGTTTGCATTCTGGGGACCTTGACTTGCTGAACCACGGCTTGCCTGTCTGTTGGCCAAGGCTTTCTTCTCCTCAAAGTAACTGGTCAGCTTCACAAGATCATCCTCCACCTTGGCTTCAGCTTGCTGAGCTGTTGCAGCGGCCATCTGCGCCGCCAGCCTCGGCAAATCATCCAATGCTTTGTCATTAGTCATTGTCGCACGGTGTCCTATAAATCAGTGGGCTCCCGGCTTTTCTGACTCCAGAAGTTGCTCTTCCTCGGCCTCTCAACACGTTACAACAAATTCCCAGGCTCAGCAGCACAAAGTAGTTGCAACGTCGTGTTTGACATGATAAATGAATTGAGGTAATAGTGATACACATCTCAAATTGCCTGCAATTAAATATTGCCAGCTGATCTTCAGTGAGACGGACAAAGCTGCAACAACTTACAATAACACTGAACAGCAGACAAATAATAATATAATATGCAAATTATCAGACTACTTATTTCCCACGGGAACCGTGCCGCTCTTTGCAAGCCTCCTTCTTCAGCTTCAACATCATGCCGCGGAAGCAGGCCAGCATGCTGAGGTCCACCGGCGGCACCGACTGCTCTAGCAAATTCTCCAGGTCTGCATCCAAATGTCGGAGCATGAACCTCAGGGTGAACCAGGACCAGAAAAAAACGCACCCACTGAGCTTTGCCAAACCCGTAGCAAAGCAGACCTAGCAGTCTTCTTGCAGCAACTGAAACGATTTCGTGAGATTTCCTGTTTCGCGATCCATCAAGCCCTTCGGAAAGTACTCGTGAGCACGTACCAGAGCAGCCAGGAACAGGGCGCAACGTTTCAAGCAGGCTTCCTCAGCGACGCAAGCTGCGATATTTTCAAGGCCAGACGACAAGCCTAATGTATCGCGACACTGAAACTTCCAGAACAGGCTAGGATGAGCTTTTTGTACTATGTAGCCGCTGAGGTTCCACGTCCTTTGAGGCAAAGGGTTTGCGCATCTTCACGTGCAGGTTCTTGTAGTCTTCCTCCATGCGGTGCAGCGTGAGCTCCAGGGACTGCGGTGTATTGCTCAAGATATCAGCCCATGGCTTCAACTGCCCGCTGGCCGCGCAGTAATCTCTGTTGAAAAGGCCGTCAGCGATGGGCTCATGATTGAGTATCTTGTTCATCCCGTAGGTCCTCGAAGAACATGGACTTACAGGTCCAAGGCCCTTGGATTTCGGCCGAGACAAGAGCGAGGCTCCGAACCTCTCGGCCTAGTTTCCGTGCGTGAGAACACTTTAACGTCCATGGCCGTTGGAATTCAGTTTGGCCGAGACAAGAGCGAGGCTCCGAACCTCTCGGCCTAGTTTCCGTGAGAACTTTAAGGTCCTAGCCGTTGGATTTCGGCCGAGACAAGAGCGAGGCTCCGAACCTCTCGGCCTAGTTTCCGTGAGAACTTTAAGGTCCTAAGCCGTTGGATTTCGGCCGAGACAAGAGCGAGGCTCCGATCCTCTCGGCCTAGTTTCCACAAGTATGGGCTGTCCTCACCATGTCGCTCAGCTTCTCGAAGACTGGGCCATCCACGGCGGTCAACAGCTGCAGGGCGGCTTTGCTTTCAAGACTTCCAATTCTGTACGCCTCCGCTTCTTTGGCCGCATGCTCCCACGCCTCCAAGCGTTACAAGGTACAATAAGACTCAGATTCAGACGGCCAATGGTATGGCAGTCAGTCTGTAAGTCAGCAAACGCATGAAACCAGTCCTCCAACGACCCAACGTCCTCGCACTTCATTTTCTTGACCAGCACGATCTGATGCACCAAATTGAAGCAGTTTGGTTTCCTCCTTATCGCCGAAGCCATGGTCACACCTGTCATGGATGTGCATGATTCAGATCCCAATGCTGAAATCAAATTGTGCTAAGTCTGCCGTCACATTTCGTTAAATGCCGTGGCACTGCGGTTCTTCAGGATGAGGCTGCCCGGGTCCAAGTTCCCCGGCATCACCACGCAGTGCACAGTGGCAAACGTCCTGCATCGTCTCTGCATGCATTCACTTATTATTATCTAGCCCTGAACATGAACGGCAATGAACTTGCTCCTCCGGACAAACTCTGGCATCTCCTCTCCGTGCAGGACAAGACATGACTTAACAAATTAAATGAAGGCAATGCATCCGTCCTACAAAAGAAAATGACCGCAACGTTTCATGTGTTACCGCGCAGAGCCCTCCTTTTACCATTTTTAACCCCCCCCTGGCCCTCTTTTACTAATTTCCCCCCCGTCCTTGTAGAACTCGCTGTCTTGGAAGCAAAGCAGGAGCATGAGAATGCCACACACGGATCGCGTCCATCCCTTTGCACAAATGATTTTCTGAGGGTCCAGGAGGCCCGCAGCCGAGCTTGAAATCTCATCCGACGCGATTACGAACTGATTCTTCAGACCACTGTCTTGTCGTTGTGGCGCGATGGTCAACGCCTCCACTCCTCCCTGGCTTGGGTCTGTTTGGAACCTTGGCTTCTAGTCAGTCTCAACACTCGCCGGCTGCACATCCAATCCATAAAGCAAATCCCAAATTAAATGCATCGATGCTGGCCCGTTGATGTACACGAGTTCCAGGAGCTGATAGAGGGAGTCCTCAGCCAAATGCATGATTGTAAGGCTTTGCCAGGCCCCCTGCAATACCCGACTGCTACCTTAGAGTACGTAAACATGCTCCAAAACGTCCCGGGCACGGGCTCCACGTACCCCTTGAAGCCTGCATTCGGAGACCAGGGCAGCTGCCAGGGCCTCAGACATGTGGGACCTGCACGATCCACGGTCTGGCAGTATGTCCTTGGCAGCAGACTTGGGATTGTAAAGCATTTCTCTGCTGTCCAGATCATGGCACAACAATTTTCAATTCAATTCAGGTTGCTGCACTCGAACACAGAAAGTCCTGGGGCCAAGATTCACACCCTCCTCAGGTGGAAACTTCTCCTCGACGAACCGCAGGAATTCCAAAACAGTCTCCTGCGAGTGACATGTGTTGTCGGCGTCCGAATAGTAGTTGGCTCCCACACGCAGCAGGCTGCTCCGTGACCCCACCTGGTTTGCCAACTCAGCCTGCAGGAGGCGGTCGACAGAGCGATGGGAGCTCAGCTTGTCAGACCTCACGTTGAAAACACTGTCAGAAATACATTGTCAATTAGAAGGAGACACGGATTCAGCGTCGAATGTTGTAATTGCCTGAACCAGGGAACAACCATGTTCTCAAGCGTTCCACATTTGGTGAAATGTCGCTCACGATCATCTCACTTCCCAGACTGGCGTCCGACTTCGCTCGCTTGGGGTTCTTCCCACTTTTGCTTGCATTCGAGCTCCCCCCCAAGGAAGGTCGACCCAGAGCCGTTCTCTTCGTGCCAGGCATGCTTGCTGGGCACTCGATGACAGACTGACTGTCAGTCTACACTCACGCAGAGACCAATGATGAGCCCGGCCGCAATCGTGAAGCATTGCAAAATGAAACCGAGATTTACTGTCATATTACTATCATCAATGATGGTCCTGCTCAGACATTACATGCAATAATACAGCACCGCAACGCACACTCACTGACAGCTCGAGCTGCAGCAGCACATCACGCGCTTTTATTTAGGCTCGACCAGCATAATAATGGCATGAGAATTCTCAAATGTTTCCCGCGTCTCATAAGCTGCATCGGCAGACGACTTTATCGTTGCCTCTCAGCGACGTCAAGGGAAAAGTCAGCCTGGCCGCAGGCTCATGTGTCGTAGTGCATTTAATTATTTATTATATATTAACCCATCCGCCTACTAACTACTATGCTTGCTACCTTGACGTCGTCAACGAAATGATGACTACTAGCTAATGGCCTGCAACTGCTATGAATCATTATTACTAATACGAATAATACTAATACTAATACTAATACTCATACTCATACTCATACTCATACTCATACTCATACTCATACTCATACTACTAATACTAATACTAATACTAATACTAATACTAATACTAATACTAATACTAATACCAATACCAATACTAATACTAATACTAATACTAAATACTAATACTAATACTAATACTAATACTAATACTAATGCTAATGCTAATGCTAATACTCATACTGATACTGATACTATCACTTTAATACGAATGCCAATACCAATACCAATACCAATATCCATATTAATACTAATATTAATACTAATACTAATACTAATACTACTACTCATACTAATACTAATACTAATATTAATACTAATATTAATACTAATACTAATACTATTACTAATACTAATATTAATACTAATACGAATACTAATACTAATACTAATACTAATACTAATACTAATACTAATACTAATACTAATACTAATACTAATACTAATACTAGTACTAATACTAATACTAATACTAATACTAATACTAATACTTAATACTAATAGTAATAATAATACTATTACTAATACTAATACTAATACTAATACTAATACTAATACTAATACTAATACTAATACTACTACTAATACTAATACTAATACTAATACTAATACTAATACTAATACTAATACTAATACTAATACTAATACTAATACTACTACTAATGCTCTACTAATACTGCTTTCTGCATGCCGCACCTTTTGAAAGCTCGTGAGCAATGGGATCGTGGTTGCATCGAGTGTCTTGTCTAACTTACTTGGATTTCGGCTGAGACAAGAGCGAGGCTCCGAACTTCTCAGCCTAGTTTCCAGAAGAAGGATTTCGGCTGAGACAAGAGCGAGGCTCCGAACTTCTCAGCCTACTTTCCAGAAGAAGGATTTCGGCCGAGACAAGAGCGAGGCTCCGATCCTCTCGGCCTAGTCTCCATAACTTACTGGACGACGTGGATCCGCCTGCTTTCACATTAAAAATCTAGCTCTCCTCGCTTGGTGAAGGGACCCATTCGAGATCCTTCAAAGTTTCATGAATCTCAAAGGCGAGTTTGAACCAGGCGCTCTGGTGGAGGAAGACATCCGCGTGATGCTCGAGGAACTCCTGGGCTTGAAATAAGAGCGAACCCAAAGGCCTTCCGGCGGCCTCTCGGAGAAGGTTGGCCCCCCGCAGCACTGGAGGAGCAAGCCGGTCCAGAGGAGTTCGAGGAAAAGGGCCACCTTCCGGACGTTGGTCAGCTTTCAAGCCCATGATGAAGTACTTTGTGAGGACACATGTACTGGCCATAGCTCTCAGCCAATCAGAATCGGCGTTCGACTCCAGAAAGCAGCCCAAGACCACATCGAGGTTGAACAACTCAAAACCTAAAATCAAAATATCTTCGTGTGGATAATGAAGCTTCAGGGAGGTCTCCAGGCCAGCAGCAACATCACGGCAATTCAGAATCATGGCTTTGCAAAATACAGCTTGAGCAATTGCTGCAGCAATGCATCACAACGACAGAGAACAAAACAATGGAAGATTTGCAGCACTGCTCGGCTTGAAGGTTGCAGGCTTTGGGTTTTACTCTGTTCAAAAGCAAGCACAAGCAATGGCAAGCGAAATGCAATGAAGTTGACATACAAGGAATAACTAATAATACTAAACTCAACCGGCCTAACAACACAGCCATGTCCCAAGAACGGCCTCCCTTCTTTGTCCGGTATTAATTTGCTTCCGGTGACTTGCAAAATGCTTCGATGTCACCAGGTCAGGCCCCAGCCGGCGCATTAGCCCATGTGCCCGGCTGTCATCTAACCCCTGCCCCTGGGATAGGTTGGCCTCAAGGCTCTGACACAGGCAAACCGAACGCCTC